ACAGAGGATCAGTTTAGTATGCATTAAGTAAAGATTTCAACAGTTTGCACCCCCATAGAAACACAAAGTGAAATATATTGTTTGAGTACTCGTTATAGCATTAAATCTCAATGCACAGCACATTAAGGACAGAGATCCTACATGAGGAGTAAGTGCACAGTGACTCCTGTTGTTGACTTTACCAATTGACACTCCTATCTATGGCATCAGTAATCTCCCTATGCACCAGTCATGAGTTTCCAAGGCTATGGAAGCCCTCTGAGTTCTCCAATTCTTATCTTGTTTAGACAAGGTCATAGTCAAAGTGGAGGTTCTCTCCTCCCTTCAGAGAAAGGTACCTCCTTCTTTGAAGACCTGTTCTTTCCACTGGGATCTCACTCACAGAGATCTTTTGCCAGAGTGTCTTGGCTTTCCATGCCTGAAATACTCTCATGAGCTTTTCAGCCAGCTCTGAATGCCTTTAGGGCTGATTCTGAGGCCAGAGTGCTATGTAGGACATCTGCCATTCTATGAGTCTGCTGAGTATCTCACTTCCCATGTTGGATCACTCTCCCCTTTATTTATTCTATTGGTGTTAGCAGGTACTAGACATGTTTATGTGCTCCCTTTGACTCTTAGTCCTATCATTATGATCAATTGTGAACTGAAATTGATCACTTGGAATAGTGAGATGGCATTGGTACATGCCACCTTGATGGGATTGAATTGGAATCCCCTGGTATGTTTCTAACTCTACCATTTGGCCATGAGACTTTTTGTAAAGGAATTAGGACACATATTAGTTTCTCACTTTATGTCTTCATTTTTAAATATTGTTTATAGCCATTCACAATATTCCCACTAAACTAGGGTCTTTTTACATTTTACTTGTTAAACTTTTTTTGGTGAAGTATTAAGACTTTTTTTTTTTACTGTAAAGTGTATTTAAAATGTTATCTCAAAAACTAAAGAAAAATGCAAGGAAGAAGAGTGGGAGAGAGAGAAGAAAGATATATCATTATGCTTTTAGAATTGTGTATACAAACAATATTGCATCTGTTTAAAAAACTAGCAATTTGGCTGGTGCCACAGCTCACTAGGCTAATCCTCCACCTACGGCGCTGGCACCCCGGGTTCTAGTCCCGGTTGGGGCACCGGATTCTGTCCCAGTTGCTCCTCTTCCAGTCTAGCTCACTGCTATGACGGAGGAGTGCAGTGGAGGATGGCCCAAGTGCTTGGGCCTGCACGCACATGGGAGACCAGGAGGAAGCACCTGGCTCCTGGCTTCACATCAGCGTAGTGCACTGGCTGTAGCAGCCATTTGGGGGGTGAACCATTGGAAGGAAGACCTTTCTCTCTGTCTCTCTCACTGTCTAACTCTGCCTGTCAAAAAACAAAAAAACAAACAAAAAAAAAACAAAAACAAAAAAACAAAAAACTACTGATTTGACAAATATTAAAACAAAATGAGACATTGTAGATACTTTCATTTTGATTATCATTCTTATCTAGGAGATCAGAAAGCAATCCTATCTTCTCATGTTAAAATATCCTAATAAATTAGAGTGGATAGAGTTCTTGGCTCCTGGCTTCAGCATGGCCCAGTCTTGGCCATCATGGCCATTTGGAGAGTGGACCATCAGATGGAAGAGCTCTTTCTCCCTCACTGTCTCTATAACTGCCTTTAAAGTATATAAATATGTTAAAGATTTTCCTTAACTTCATTCTAAAAATGTGTCTCTGTTTACATGTATGCATTATATGTGCATCACAGAACATTCAGAAAACTTAATATAGGCCATGGGAAGAGATCAAATCTCTTCTATATTCAAGTCACTTAACATTTACACACAGATACATGCATATACACGTACATTTTACAAACAAAACCATGACCAAACAGACATGCTACTTTGTCTTCTACTTTTCCTGCTCAACAGTGTGTAATTTTCCCTTCATGGTGTTAACTACTCTTTTTAAAGGTTGTGATTTTAATTGGCTGAAAATATTTTCTCCTTTTGACAACTTAAGTTTTAACAATTTTCTATGATGAATAATTATAGTAAACACTCTTCATATAACTCATTATTCATATGTCTGATTTTTAAGATTAGACTGCTTTGTGAAATTGAATTACTAAGCTTGAGGTTAATTATATATAAATGAATGGAGGGCCCAGCACTGTGGCATAGCAGGTAATGCTGCCACCTGCAGTTCTGGCATCCCATACGGGTGCTAGTTCAAGACCTGGCTGTTCCACTTCTGATCCAGTTCCCTGCTGTGGCCTGGGAAAGCATTAGAAGATGGGCCAAGTCCTTGGGCCCTTGCATCCTTCTAGAAGACCTGGAAGAAGCCCCAACTGTTGTGGCCCACTGGGGAGTGAACCAGCAGGTGCAAGACACCTCTCTCTCTCTCTGCCTCTGCCTCTCTGTATCCCTTTGAAATAAATAAAAACATCTTAAAAATTTAAATGAATGGAATAAATTTAATGCATTTCACATATATGGTTTTAAGAGAATAATGATACTTCCCACTCTACCCTCTCTCTCCCTCCCTCTTCCTTCCTTTATTATTTTACTCTTAATTTTTACAATGACGTACTTTTAATTTACTTTATACACAAGCTTAACCCTCCACTAAATAAAGAATTCAACCAGTAACAAGTTGTAATTCAGTAAAAAAACAAACAAAAAAGCCAACCAAACAAGCAAAAATAAAAAAAAAACCCACTGTCCCTCAAGAGTATAGACCAGGGCTAAAAAAGTCAAATGTAAAAATATCAATTTTGATCATGTGCACTACATTTTTTACTCTGTATATTATCCATAACAAATCAGGGAAACATATGCTATTTATTTTTATGGGGATGGTTTATTTCACCAAGCATAACAGTCTCCAGTTGCATCTAGTTTCTTGCAATAAAAAAAGGATTTCATTTTTAATGACTGAGTAGTATTCCATTGTGTGTGTGTGTGTGTGTGTGTGCACATCTCACAATTTCATTAATTAGTTATCAGTTGATGGACTCCTGGCTTCAGATTGGCCCAGCTCTGGCCATTGTGGCCATTTGGCAAGTGAATCAGCAGATCGTTCTAACTCACTCTCTCTCTCTCTCCCTCCCTCCCCCTCTCTCTAATGCTGCCTTGCAAATAAATATTTTTTTTAAATAAAAGAACTATCCTGTAGTCTCCATTGATGACCCCTTTAACCAGAATGACTGGGCCACTGAGCCCTCATTCCTTTTGGAAGTTGGCATCCGGATCATGGAGGATGACCTCATGGTCACAACCCAGGAAGACCGCCCAGGCTGTGGAGAAGAAGGCCTGCAGCGGTACTGCTGTTAAAGGGCAGCTAGACTGGTCCAGTAACCGATCCACTCAGGCCTGTAAACCAGCTCAGTTTAATGGCTGGGGGGTGGTGGTGACTATGAGCCACACTCTGGGAAGATGCAGCACACATTCATCGCCGACCTTGTGGTGGGGCTCTCACAGGATACATCAAGACTGGTGACCCCTGCCACTTGGAGCATATGGCCAAACACAAAAAACTCGTGAGGATTGAGGTAAAGCTACCGCCTACAGTGCCAGCATCCCATATGGGCACTGGTTTGATTCCCAGCTACTCCACTTCCAATTCAGCTCTCTGCTGTGGCCTGGGAAAGCAGAAGATGGTCCAAGTCCTTGGAACCCTGCACCCACATGGGAAGACCTGAAGGAAGCTCCTGGTTCCTGGCTTCGGATTGGTGCAGCTCCGGCAATGAACCAGCAGATGGAAGACCTCTCTCTCTCTTTCTCTCTCTCTCTGTGTCTGTCTCTCCTTTTCTCTGTGTGCAACTTTGACTTTCAAATAAATAAATCTTTAAAAATATAAGTTCCATTAACCTGAAGGCCATGTGAGAAACAGGAGACCCTGGGACTCCACTGGACACACCCTGGAGTCCATCTCCCTGAAATAAGCACTAGTGCTAAACAAATAAATAAATAAATAAATGTTATCAAAATTTGTTTTCTGTATTCCTTTTCATGCTGAAAAACTTCAAAATTAAATAACAGGATACAAGAAATTGTTTAGAATTAAAGAGCTTTATTAGTGTAAGTTTGTTATAAATGAGAATACAGTATATGCTTTCAATACATAGGGAGGGGCCAGCACTGTGGCATAGCAGGTAAAGCTGCCAACTGCAGTGCCGGCATCCCATATGGGTGCCAGTTCAAGTCCCAGCTGCTCCCCTTCCAATCCAGCTCTCTGCTATGGCCTGGAAAAGCAGTAGAAAATGTCCCAGGTGCTTGGAGCCCTGCATCCACCTGGGAGACCTGAAGAAGCTCTTGACTTTGGATCAGTGCAGCTCTGGCCGTTGTGGCCATCTGGGGAGTGAACCAGTGGATTGGAAGATTTCTCTCTCTGTAACTCTGCCTTTCAAACAAATAAAGCTTTTAAAAAACACATAGGGAGAAATACATTTTCAGAATAATGATTCCCAAGAAAAACACTTGTGAAAAAGGTTTTTTTTTTCCAAACATGGAAACATCATGACAT